CCGTAGAGCGTGAACTGGTAAGGTAACCCTCGATATAGCTATTTAGGGAACAAACTCAGCTAGTTTGGAGGGGAAAGACACAGATCATCCTGAACGTGTGTGATTGGGATCATTCGTTGAGCGAGCGCATGAAGGTTCTGGAGTATTGGAATCAGTCGCTTGACCAACAGGGGGCAACAACTTGGGATCAGTCAAAGTAAAGACAAACTCAACATAAGCGGGTTTAAGACGGTCAATACTCTCAGATTCTTTCGATCCATTCCTTTCCAGTATGAAGTACTTAGGTTTCCGTGACAACACTTTGAAAGGGCCTCCACAAGGGGGTGTCAACGGCTTGCGAACTGCAGCAATGCGAATGAAAACAAAAGTACAAGTGTGGAAGTCCGGATGACTTCATTGTTCGCGGGCAGCGAAGCGAGTAGACGTAGGTCGAATTGTTCGGAAGTGTTGTTTGAGACGTTCGGTGTAGGATACAGGACCTATCTCACCCGTGACTCAGGAATCCAAAATCATCTCACCTGAAAATCTGAGAGTGGTGCCAAAGACGAGTTCGGCAGGCTGCATCCAATATCATCGTTGACGGTATTACGGATACCAAGAAGGACAGCTGGGAGGCGTTCAGACCAATGTGGATAAGGTGAATTAGCTGTGATGGCGCCTTTAAGCTGTCGTTGGAAACGCTCGACAAGGCCATTCGAAGCCGGATGATAAGCAGTTGTCCGAAGGTGGGTACAACCCAACAGACGATTCAAGTCACGGAACAAGGTGAAACTAAACTGAGATCCTCAATCTGGAGTGATCGTCGATGGTACACCGAAAAAGGAAATCCATGAGTCAAAAGATGCACGGGCAACAGATTCTGAAGCTGTGGCACTTAAAGGAATGGCATGCGGCCAACGGGTAAAACGGTCAACACAAGTAAGAATGAAAGTGAAGTTGTTCGATGGAGGGAGCGATCCGACTGTGTCTAGGTGGACATGTCTAAAACGCGCCTCAGGTAGTGAGGATGTTCCGGGGGCAGAGATAGTGTGTCAGTGTACTTTGCTCCTCTGGCAGCTGAGACAGTGTTTAGCCCATTGAGGGATATCGGAACGCATACTAGACCAGAAAAACGATCAGCAATCAACTTCACAGTGGATCGAATGGTAGGATGCGATAGTCCGTGAAGATGGTCAAAGACGGTTCGCCGGAAAGGCTGTGGAACAAACTGTCTTGGCTTACCGGTAGAGACATCGCAGTGAATCCTTGCGTCCGAGTTTAAAATTGGTAATTGCAAGAATTTAAATGTGGTATTTGATCGAAGCTGAGCGAGTTCAGGATCGTTGTTCTGGGCAACAGACATTTCCTTAAGGTCTATTGGAGAAGGGGACAGTTGATGTAAGTGAGCACGTGAGAGTGCATCAGCGACAACATTATTTGGACCGTCGAGGTATCGAATATCGACACAGAATTGTCAGCGGTAATCCAGACGTCGTGTCTCTCTCGGAGAATAGCGGTCGGAAGCGGCACGAAAAGCGTAGACCAAAGGCTTGTAGTCCCTCAGAATTACAAAACGTCGTCCTTCAAGGACGTGGCGAAAGTGTTTGACGGCCAAGTAGATCGCGAGTAGTTCGCGACCAAAAGTACGACATCTGGTTTGTGCTGTTTGTAGCTTCCGAGAAAAGAAAGACAACGGCTGAAGCTCATTGCCGATTAATAGTTGTAGTAAAGCACCGACAGCGGATTGTGAGGCATCAGTCTTGAGAACGAGAGTAGCCTTCTCGTCGGCGTCCAAGTAGCTCAGGGAAGTTACCTGGCTTAACTTCGGCTTGATGGCAACAAACGCCGTTTCGGCTTCTGGCGTAATGATGAACTTCTTTGGATTACATTTAAGTAAATCAGTCAAAGGCTGAAGGACGGCAACACAATTGTCAACGTATCTTCCGTAATAATTAACCACTCCAAGGAATCGGCGCAGGTTTTTAGCGGATTGGGGCAGTGGATAGTCCACGATTGCCTGGGTTTTCTCAGAGATGGGACTAATGCCTTTGCCATCAATGTTGCGACCAAGAAAATCGACGTTAGGTTGACCAAATGGACATTTATCAGGCTTAATGGTTATCCCGTGGTGAGCGAAGCGTTCGAACACTTGTCGAAGGTGATCAAAGTGCTCTTCTGGCATGGCACTGGCTATGAGGACATCGTCGATGTAGACAAAACAAAGTCTAGACCACGGAGGACCTGGTCCATGAAGCGCTGAAAAGACTGTGCCGCATTGCAAAGACTAAAAGGCATACGAATGAACTCGTACAAACCGAAAGGTGTGCTAAGGGCCGTTTTAGCAATGTCCTCAGATGCCATTGGAATTTGATGGCAAAGGCTGATGGAAACGGCTGATTTCCCGGACAATCCTAATGAAAATCATGAATATGGAGGGTAGGGTATCTGTCGGGGATGGTAACGGCGTTGATTGCCCGCTAATCACCGCATGGACGCCAATCACCGGATTTTTGGGTACCAGATGGAGCGGGGAAGCCCAGCAACTGTTGGATGGGCGAATGATTCCGAGGTTGGTCATGTGCTTGAATTCACGTTTAGCCGCTTGGAGCTTGTCAGGTGGAAGACGTCTCGGTTTGGCTGACACTGGTGGACCAGTGGTGACGATATGATGACGAACCTCGTGTTTAGGCTCGGTAGAGTCTGTATTAGAAAGGACCAAAGATGGGAATTGCTGAAGCAATGATGAATACGGCGTGGTGTCTGGCAGGAGTATGCGAAATCCGACGGAAGTGACTGAGGCGAGATGGCAAGGGACAGTGTGCGAAGTGCTGTCATCTCGTAACTTCTTGCAACGTTGGTCGACGGCGAGGCCGAATTCGCTAAGGAAGTCGGTGCCAATTATGGGTTTCTGGACGTCTGCGATGGTGAAGATAAAAGGAAATACGCGTCGTAAACCAAAGCTTAGGTACAACAGCTTCTGGCCGTATGTCGCGATCTTAGTCTGGTTAGCCGCCTGTAACGTAATTCCGGCTTGTTGCAGAGGGCGGTTTTCCAAAGTTCTGGGTATAACGCTGATTTCTGCGCCCTTATAGACCAAAAAATGAAGTCAAGTCGTGGAGTCGAACACGTACAGAAGGCGACTGAGGATTTGGCCTGCGACAGCCGTCGCCACTACTGGCTGGCTTTGGCGTTTCCCGGTTGCGAAATCAGAGTTCCTCTCGGATATTTGCATCCCGGGCGACAGTTACTTGCTGATTTACCGAAGCGCCGGTGGAAGTAGCAGTACGACCGCTGACGTGAGCGTGATGTGCTGCGGCGCGGACCACGAGGACTTCTTCGGTTGGTAGTGCGTTCACGTCGAATTGCAGACATGCTGAGTTCTAGGCAGGAGATTCTATCATTGATCTAATCAAGCGTAGTGCTATGGGATGAGCTGGCTGTGGTGGACTCAGCTACGTGATTAAGTGTATTCTTAAAGAAACATTCGTGCGTTTTGTCCGCAGTTTCTGCCAGCTTTTCCAGCGTGATATCGTCGCTAAGAACTGATAATATCGCTGTGATGTACGCCGGAAGACATTTCGTCCAAAGTTAGCGGAGTATGGAATCGTCGAGTTTCAACTAACCAACTAGAGAACGCATGTGCCTAAGAAGCTGAGATAGGGTGTGATCTCCAAGCTTGACGCCGGAAAGTAACTGTTGCAGACGAGCCTTATCAGACGCAGTGGTGCGTTTAAGGATAGCTGCTTTAAGGTTGTCATACGGCGCTTCTACAGGCATAGGGTCAAAGATATCAAAGGCTTCAGATGCAATGGCGACAGGTAAGCGCAAGAAGACGCAGGAGAACATGGAAGATTGTGAAGTGACCCTACGACATCGAAAAGTAGCTTCTACATGAATAAACCACACACGTGGATTAGAAATGTCAAAGGTAGGAAGCGATAGTTCGACGGAATTGTCCGTAAAAACACATGGGGTGTGGTCAGACATGACTAAGAAAAATACGTGTTCAAAAAATAAGGCGAGGTCACCAATTTATGTAGTGGTCGAAAAATACTAGAAGGTTTCGGCCCCTTAGTAAAAGGCTACAAGTTGGAAAGGGCACAGTTGAGTTCGAGTCATAGGTTGCGCTATACCTGTGGCACATGCAGAGCACAATGGAAATAGACGTTCGATAGTAATTCCGAATATACTATCCGATTTGCAAGCAGACTGGACGGCACCGTACGCACGCAGAAGAAGCACAGCCAAAAATCAGCACGACGGAACGCGGGACACGAAGAAGTGTATTGTAACCCTTAATTCAAACCAACTGTACAAAAGATGTCATGATCAAATTGATGACAGGAAAGATAAAATTTAAAAGATTAATAGCCACTACAGGTTACACTCTGAAGATCGGTTGGATAGATTAAGGTTGTTTGCAGAGGAGGCACAAATAGAAAGAGGCATTGCTAGAGACGTTTCAAACGATGATGGCTCCCAGTAATCATGGACTAACTGATCTCTTCGAACCAGTCACCTCAGACTAGTTGCGGTCTAATGCCGAAATGAAAACATCAAATACCAAGACTGGAATGAAATGCTTCTTCGCAAGTTGAGCTGCGCCCAGCTATAACAACCTAGCCTATATAAGTACGGGAGTGCCAAAGGATAATGAAACTCATGCCTCGTCTAAAGCCAAATCGATTGACCCTGTTCTACGAATAGCTGTAGGAGGTCATGCAGCAACTTCATGAAAGTGCTGTGATTGTTGCTCTAGCCACTGACTGACATTTTGCACTATAGACGTAATAACCAAGTCGAGTGGAAGTGCTGGAGTCTATCTTTCGCTCAGCAACACAAGAAACGGGATGTTGGTTAGCCGAAATAATTTTTCGTCATGGTTACTGTCCTGTCCTGCAGACCACCGCAAAAGATCCTACTTACCAGTTAAGCAAACTGTAAATAATTAATTCTAAGTTTTATTCTACTTATAAACTAAAAAACTAAACAAGGAATTCTTTGCTTTGTTATAATTGGTCATTGTTGTGATTGACAGTAAGCAGCACCATTTCAAAGGGGTGAAAATGTCCAAGACCGTGCTGCATATTGGATTACCTTATCGCACACATATTTCGCACAGATATAGTAAATGATAAACAGGTGTTTCTAGGCTCAGTACGATAAACAACGATGTTACAAGAATCCACCTCTCGAAAACAATACCCATCGGACACCACAACAGATGGTGAGTTGCTGTCACATTTTTGAGTATATCATAATGCGAATTACAGTAGCAACTTTTGTGTAGTTTTAGTGTTATCTTTATTTTGTGCGCCGTTTTAATTCAGCTATGTTGTGGCTCTATACCAGCATTGTGATACCATAACTTAATGTCCGTTTAACTGACAGTTGGAGATTCCCGAGCGGCATAGTAAAAGGGGGTGGAACGGCCTTTTCAGTATGGGTGCTTGTTCGATACTATTTCTAACTAGCAAATATTCCATGTAAGCCGGTAGATGTGTGTTGCAGTATCACACTGTATAAATAAAAACATCGAAGATGGAGTTGATGCTGCAAATTTTGACACTCGGGCAACAAAAATCGACAATGACAACCTTGGTGCATCGTAATGCTGATGCAGATGATGCGCGCGCATCCAAAGCATTGAGAAGCTAAGCACTACCTAGCACGACGACATGCACATTAACCGATATTTTCGGATGTCGGCCTGTGGCCTGTTTAGAGTGACCATGTAATTCGCACTGTGCTTATACGGCTGGAGTCTACTTCTTTGAAGTACCTCTACGATGAATTCAAATGTATACCATGCACTTGAACAAATCCAAAATTGAAGCTAGTTAGCTAGCGGCGAACTGGAATTTCGGGATTTGCCAAACGGAGAGCAACGATTGCAAAGATAGATGGTATATTTTTCTTTCTACAAGGCTCTGTTTTACTTCTGCTACGGACGATTTTCAACAAGAGTGTCAGTTTTTGTTTATTGATGGTTTCAAAAACTGGAGAATCATCAAATCCGAAAGTGTATGAACATGAATCTGATAAATCGCATGCACAGGTATTCTTCAAATGTAAGGAGCTAGAGAACCGGGTATTTGAAATAAAGGCAATTGATAAAATGGTGCAAGCACTTTTGGAAAAGGAACCAAATGGGTGGCGTGGGATTATAGCTAGATAAGTGGGTATCGTCAGGCATACAGCCAGGCAGAACATAGCACTGCGTGATCACCGAGAAGGTATCCAGGATGCTAAAGGAGGCTATGGAAAATATAGAGGACGTTTCGATATTGATAAACTTGTTGGCAAAGTATGATCCCGTTTTTTATCATTGTTTGGTGACCGATTTGCTGGGGAAAAAGTGAATTTGGGTGTATTTTGGTAAAGAAGTTGGAAAGGAACTCACCTATCAAACCAAAAAACAAGTATTGTTGCTTAATTTTGGATAGCACCTCAAATTTATCTCACGAAATCAGATGAGTGTGGTGTCGCGCTACGTAAACATGGATGAAAATGAAGTGAAAGTTGAGTAGTCAATTTTATGCCTCACTGAGACTAACAAAAAGAGCAGAGGAAATTTATGGATTGATTTTTGCAACTGGTGAAGGATAGACTTCAAATTGACGAGTACCGTGGCCAGGCTTTTACAATGCTGCTGTTATGATGGGCTACCGATCGGGAGTCTAGAGACGCATATGCAAATTCAACTGTAAACTACATTTTTGCTATGCACAAGTTATTTCCTGCATCTGACTTGTGTGCATACAACTACTACGACGGCTCACATTATTGCAATTGTTGGTACAATTGGCCGGTTATCCTTGTTCTTTTCTACCTTTACCTATCGCTAGAATGTCTTGATTCAGGTGATCGATCTAACTATCAATCGGGATATGAAAACCAGAGATTGTAGTGGAGCAGACGCTGTAAATGTTGTGGTAAAGAAAGGCACAGAAATTGTCATTGCTCCGAAAGAGTTAACAGAAGAAATTCAACCACGAGATTTGATGCTGCATCAATTCTCTTCTCGGTACTGTCGTTCCCGTTTATTTCCTTTTTGAGCCCTTGAATATCACTTTTCCCAGCAATGCATGAATCAGAGTAATATCTTCAAACAAAAGGCTGAATCTACAGCAAAGTTCTGTCAAGCTCAGAGCGTTAAGGGTTTGTCATCTTTAGCATGGACAACAAATGGTGGACACTGCAATGGATGAATCCAGGAACTCTACTGTGAATGAAGGATAAGCATAAAGTGTCGAATATACCAAGAGAAACAAAGTACATGATGAATTATTGTTTAGTAAATTGACTGGATTTGATCACGGGTTGAAACGGTAAATGCTGCTTGTCATAGATGGGTTGAATAATGAAATGCGTTGCAAGTTTCAGCAAAGTTATGAATTGCAAACGAAAATGCTTTCTCTACATCATCAAATCTGCTTGATAATACCTATGATTGTCCACTTGGTAAAGTTGAGTAAGCCATAGAAATGATGAATTATTTACCGAAAAGTGGATTACGGTATTTGTGAGACCTTCCGAAAACGACACAGTCTATAGACACTCTACACTTTTGGGAATATGTATCGAATATTGTGATTCCGATGTGCATCCTTCTTACCATAGATATCAACAATGCCAGCTTATGAAGAACTACTTTAGATCAGCAATTAACCGGACAAAGCTCACAGACCTAATGGTTTTCTCCAAATAGAGAGAACTTGCTGGTGTACGGATTTTTGATAGTGGCATCGGTTATTTTGCTACAAGTACAACGCGAGAAGCCTGTGCGGTAGTCTTGTACACGGATGTCTGCACTTACAGAAGCACTATGAAATTAGATTTTGTTTGTTAATCTACAAAACTGAATACTGAAGCACTCTGCGCCATTATGAAGTTTTAAGGATTCACAACTGCCCTGGGCGGCAAATGCAGTTGCTACGCCACGGACACCGAGTGAGCAATTTTGTACCCTTAGCTCTCCCATAGAGACTAATTTAAGATTAATTTTCTTCACTTGAAAAATTTCCCCAGCGAAGCATTAATATTTACTGTAAACGGGTTTTTCCTGGTCGCAAATACCGTATATATTATGTGGAATTCGATCCATAAATCGTGTTTACGCAATACTGTAGCGGTAAGGAAACACTGAAAAATGTTTGAGTGACAGAAGTTCGTCCCAACTGTGTCTCACTGTGACGGCCATGGAGATAAAATACCGCCACTCAGTTCCCTTCAGCTGTCACTCGCGCTGACTAAAGGTAAGAATTTATTGAGTAATACACAATAATAGTTAAAGGAAAGTAGTCTTAACTATTTATGCTAATATGTAACAATAGCTCTAAGCATATTAAGCTATTTTTAGTTTTAGTTTTGCCTCTGCGGTTGAACGAAAACAATCCCATATTGTACGACTGTCTACCTATTTGTGCGGACAGTGGTAATTGTAATTGATTACGCGAGCATTTTGTGTTATATGTTCTATTACGTAAACAGTAACATAAAAACCAGTGGATATACAAATAGTTGCGTTGCAACTACGCATAACAAGAGTAACCGAAAATGTCCGCCAGTACGCTCTGGGTGACCACTTTTTGTACCCCTTACCGGTGACTGAAAGGATTACATGCCAGCGTTGTAACCCGAAAGTCACCGGTTCGAATCCGCATAGATGTTCGTGATCTCACGGTATAACTAGCCCTAGCGCGACTGGTGGTGATCGCGTGGCAGCTAATGGTTGGTACAATGTGTCGGTGTATTGCTGATGACTTCTTCAGCGATGTACATTTTGGACGAAGTTTGGGCACTTCGAAAGAAGTTTTCAGCACAGCCCTAACTTTTGCCTCGAATGCGTTTTTATGGTTAGAAATGCCGTCCGCACTCAGTGGAAAGCGATTCCAAATCGTAATTAAATCGGTTCTGTGGTCTTTAGGCTGCACCGAAGCTGAGCAACCGAAATTCGTCTCAAATACATTTAATTGGGTCGCCCAAATGCACAGAATCGGTCACTCAGCAGTAGCCTCTCAGCTACTCACGGTGGCTGAAATTACGATTTTGTTAGAACGAAACAACTTATAGGTAAATACTGGTGATGTTGATGGTGTGTTATGATGTTCGGATGATTATTACACATATCGCACCATATTTCTTTTCCTTTGATCTACGTGCGTGACCAAAAGCACCTTTAATTGGGACTGCCGACTTTTAATCTGTGCTGAGAACGGAATGTACATTATAATGCTCCAATTGTATGATGTGTTACATGTTCTTTATTGAAATTACTTCATTGTTGTTGTTGTTGTTGTTGTTTGAAAACTGTGTGCTACTGCGCCAAAATTAAAGCCAATGCTTATCATCACACGGCCTTTCCAAATGCTTTATGAGGCTTTTTGTGCTTTCTATCTACTGAATTTTTTACCTTGTACTGGATACATACTCTCTAGTGGTGGTATACCTATAGTTACGTTACGTGTCATCCACCCCATCGACCTGCGGCCAGTACATTGGATATTTTCAAATGGATCATAAAAACTTGCACTACTTGTACATCAAGTGGAACATGTTTTCACCAAGAATAAGCTGTTGCTCATACGCGCTGACGCATTACCGTTTATAGAATATTTTTATAACGGTAGATATATCTGGTATTTTTTACTTCTGATTTAGTCTGGTTGCTAGCTGAGTCGAACCTTAAGTAAGGAGTGCTTGGAAGTCACAAGTGCTCTCACTACTCCGTGGTGTTTTTATGCCTATTTTCCCTTCCAACCATGAAATGTAAAACGTTTCCTTTATTTTTCCCCTCATATTTTTAAAATTCCCATGAGGAACTATAGTAAATTAGCTCAGACACCAAAATGTTTGCGCAAACAAGCTAATGAATTCTATAGACTTGGTGGTGGATCATCAGATCGAATTTTGTCTGATGTAAAATATCGCTAGGTGTTCATGGCTCCCCTGGGCTTGTTAATTTCTATGTGCTAGTAAATAACTGAGTTTTCATATAATACCACACCTTTATATTGGACTTAAAACAAAGTTTCACAATGCAAGATGTAAGGAGCGGGCTTAGTAACAAACCGCGTGTTGCAATTCGAAATAAATACTATGGTATGCATACCTTAATTTCCGCACTAGAATCTTTGTCGTTCCTATCAGTACAGCGAAGCCGGTTACTGCCTAACGGTTTTATACAATTGGTTTTACTTAGTTATGGCAAGGATAGGTTACAAA